GGTTCCCCCCCCCCCCCAAAAAAAAAAATGATCGCCTACCCCTGTGTTAATTGCTTGCAGTAAGAAAGAAAAAGATTCTTTTAACTGGATTTTTTTGAGTGTTGCAGATATCTAAAACACTACCTCAATATTGGTGTTGCACCTAAGAAATTTCAACCTGCCCAAAAGAAAAGTCAACCCTCCCAAGTGTAACAATATGGTTCTTCTGTAACCATGATGGAAGGCCTGAAGCCATATTGGCAGCCAAAGCCTTCTTCTGCAGCCAGACTGAAGAGCAGCAGCCATTAGCTGTAAGGTGTAGAGTCACATACTCACATTCCATCTAAATTGTATTAAAACAGTGTCACACCAAGCTGCGACAAGGGGATTTTGTCCTGATAGCTCCCCCACTGTCACCAGATAAAGAAACAGATCTCAAGGTGGGTAAAGAAAACTTAAGTAATGCCAATCTGTCTGGCAAGAAACTGCTTATCAATACTTGAGGTTGTGGAATCCTCATTCTATGACCATTGTCATTACACTTTCCTATTATTTGACTGTGTGATCTCTGTCTGGTTTGTAACTGTTTCTGTCTGCTGTATAATGAATTTTGCTAGGTGTCAATCAATTAAGGTGGTGGGATATGATTGGTAAAGTTATTTTGTCATGATTGGTTAGTAAAATTATACTAAAATAATTGGTTAAGGAATAGCTAAGCAGGACTCAGGTTTCATTATATAAACTGAGGTCCAAGAAGGAAACCAGGAAGAAGATCAGAAGTAACAGAAGCAGAAGGAAAGATGCAAAAGGCTGGAAGAAGACCAAAGGGAGACAAGAAACACCAAGAAGAAGGGGGAAGACCTGGAAGAAGAACTCACCTCGGAGACACAGCCTAAGACCAGAAGCTGCCAGGATTCTCCTGCACAACCGTGACGTGCAGCAGCTAAGATCCAGAGAGACTGATTTTGCTTGGCCAACAGGGGAAGTTTGCCTGCCTTTATCAGGATTGGTGAGCATGACACTGTGTGCTTAGCCTGTGTATTCTGCTTGTTTGGGAATTGTCAATAAAGAGAGGATAAGAATATTACTGTATGAGGCTCTTTCAGTGGCTAAAGATCCTGCAAAACCCACAGGAAGTTACGCCCTGAGCCGTAGGAATTAGGTAACGGTGGGTGTGTAAATGAACAGGGTTGCACCTTGAGCCCTAGGAACTGGGTAAAGGTGTGTGTCCCTAAAGTGTGGAAGGGATAGAGAAATTTGCACAGGTAACACAAGGATGGAAAACCTTAGATGGAACGCTGGCAGCGAGTCTCCTTTAGTTTCGCCCTGCACTTGGCTCCCAGTACGAGAGGCACTCAGCCTCTTGCAGGGGCAGTCCCATGAGGATTCGGGG